CCAGAGGCCATGATGCCAAACACGTCCACTGCTGGGCACTGTGTAAAAAGTAACCCTCCTCTGACCAGACCCCCGTGTACATTCACAAACACACACACAACCCCCCCACCAACACACACACAGCACGGAGGAGAAACAAAAAAGGAGCCCATTGTGTTTTGGACCTTTTGGATTTCACTTAGAAAAACCACTCAGGCTGAAAATGTAGTTTTTTTTCCTGAATTTTCTTCCTCTTCCCCTTCCTCCTCTGGTTTAATGGCCCTCCCTCCCTCCCCCCTACCAGTGCCTCAAGAAAAGACAGACAAGCTAGAGAAAAAAAGGGAGGGGGGTGTCACACTGGGGCTGGACCCCACCTCTTCTGTCTTGTTTGTCACATTTTTCTTTACTTCCTCTTTAATATCTTCGACACCTGCCGGTTGTTTTTCTCTTGCGTGTGATGATTTTTAAGAAAAAAGCTTCTCAGCTGTGATGCAACAGATCCTGGTCTGACGGGGGTCAAACATGAGTCCAGTGTTTGTTTGTTTGTGTCAAGTACGGCACGAGCAGCTACAGTCTGTGTAGAAAATGATTAACGTGCGCAGTTTGTTTTTGTCCTGTCTGATTGATAATCATCTACAGTAACAAACGGAGGATGATCAAATATGAGTTTATGATTTATACAGATTAAACATAAACTGTTGTTGCCGGAAAAAATAGTTTCCAGCAGCTGTTCCAAAAACAATTTTAATTTGTTTACACTGGAAAGTATAGTAGGGCCAGATGTCTCTTTAGACGCAGTACCAGTGATGGACTGCAGGAGCCAAAAAGTGATGTGATTCTTTTCTTTTTCTTCTTGGTAATAAAATCTACCAGTTACATTCAGGAAGGAAGTTACAGTGAGCAGCAGCAGCAGTAAAATCAGTACCATGGCCAGCTCACACCGGTGTCTGCTGATGAACGGAGGGTCATGAACCAAGATAGGGAATCAGTGAGGTGACGGAGGTCATGAAGTGACCCACGGCTGTGCCTCAGAACCACAGCATAAGGTTGATGAGTTGGTGACGTGGCTGGTACAGAGGTGAGCAAAGCTGTGTGGCCTGGTGTGACTCTGAGGACGGAGGACTGGCTGTCGTTGACGTTTGTTGAAGTAGTCGTGATGTTGAGAATGGAAAATCTTTGAACATTTTCTACAAGACTTAATGGCTGTCAGGGCTGCGTCAGTCCTGCGTTCCTGATGCAATAAGTTTAGTTGTTCCCAAACAGAGGGGCAGGGCCCTCTAGGGTGGCGCACAGCTATTACAAGTCGAATAAATGTCTGTTTTGGTATTGATGAAATTTCTCTGATTTGTATTTTTATATTTTTTTTAATGAGAATCAACTTGTACTGTAATGAATCTCTGATTTGTATTTTTATATTTTTGTAATGAGAATCAACTTGTACGGTAGTGAAGACATTTTCCGTCTCTGTCTCTGTTTTCCACTCCATCCCTCTTGTCACATCGAAAGCGCAGCAGTGACATCTGCCACGTGAGGCCCACTTCAGTCACATGTTCCTCACTTTCATCCTCAGCGATGGTCCCATATGTTTGTCAAAATGTGTATGTTGTGTGCTTTTTCCAGCCCGATTTGTTCCCATCTCTTTTTCTCCAATGAGCCCCGATCTCCTCGGGGGTCCAAGCCGAAGCCGCACGCTATTTATACAGGCCGAACAGCTGGGGCCCTCCCAGCCAAAGCATGGGAGGGGGACGGTCCGGGGGAGGGGGAGAGAAATTATCATGGAAACTTCAGGTTAAACCAAGCGTTGGCAATTCTTTTTCTGTCCTCTCTTTTCTGTCTCCACGTCTTCCACTGCGTCGTTTGTCTTCTTCTCCTGGGTGTCCAGCGTGTCCTGGTCAGGTCCTGGTCATGTCGGGTCATCCCAGCTGCCCGGACAAACATCACTCAGCCGCTTGAATCCCATTTCCTCTTCAATCCCTCTTTTTATCTCTTTGTCTATTTCTGTGTCTTTTCATTCTCTCTGCTGCCGATGTTTTCGCTCCCTCAAACACACTTTCTTTCCCCGCTCTCAATGAAAGAGCTGAACTGTTTTGGACGGAGTGAGAAAAAGGCCATTTTCCCTCCAACTGCACTTGAGCACATTTTGCTCCTTTGTTATGCCGGACAAAGCCGACCTGCTGTTGCAAAACTGAGCTTTTTGTGTTTCTTCTCTCTTTTTCTCCCCCCTCAGCTCTGTAGCTCCTGCGGTGCCTGTCCTGTTGTGAACCATCAAGTCTCTTCCCTCCACACTGTCTGTCTGTCCTGTCCTGTCCTGTCCTCACTGCTTGTCTCTGGACTCTTCTGCCGTCCCTGTTCACCTTCACCTCATGTGGTCTCCTCAGCAGGGGAGAAATAGTTGGGTTCCTTTTTGGTTCGTTTACAGTCGGCCATCTTTTATTGTGCCTGTCGAGCTAATGAGAGGTGAAGAGAAATTAACCCTAATTGCTGCAGGGGACAGATAAATAGATTGGGAGGGATGTTGTTAGCTCAGACATGACCGTGGGCCCCCCGTGAGATCAGCCGTTCCTTTTAAGAGCAGGATAAAAATTGGATTTTTAAAGACTGGGAGCCACACGCTGGCTGACAGCTTTACACGTCAATTAACCATTCTATAGCTTTATTAGTCCATTTAAATACAAATAGTGATGCTAGTGACTTTGGACGCATTAGTGCCCAGTAGACCAGAGAGCTGACACAGGAAACGGCCTGGGAAACAGATTCACTGTCAATTATTTTTCACAGTTTCTGTCAGGAAACAAAGTTACTATTCACTGTCAATTATTTTTCACAGTTTTTGTCAGGAAACAAAGTTACTTCATGTCATGTTGGTATTTAAAAGTTCATTACTACCAATTTTGGCACGTCCGCAGTTTCACACAGCGCTTCACACAGTCTGAGCTGCACAAAGTTTTTGCACTTAAATCTAAGATTGGACCATCATTGTTTCACTGATATTTAAAGCACCAAAAAAAAAAACAGTACGAAATACAATTTAACAACTACCAAATATTTATGAGGCTAAAAATACCAAATTACAAATGAAGTCATCCTTCAAGGACTGACTCTGTCCTGGGGAGAAAAGAAAAGAAAAGAAAGTTTGACATTGAGGTCCTGTCTTTACTCTGTCTTTAAATTCAAAAAGTAGTAGAAAGTTAGGAGACTGTTGACAACAGACTGATGAACACCACAGGTCTGACAGTGACGTCAGTGTTATCACACACACACACAGAGTCTTCGTTACTACTCTTGTTGGTCATCCAGTATTTTCCGGTTTCTCTGTTGAATGTGCTCTTTGCTCTTTTCTGTGTTTGTTTTGTCAAAGTGGAATAAAGAGCTCAGGCTGGAGGTTTGAGAACTAGATCGCACGGATTTGACTTCTCTGAAAGAACTAGCAGAAACCAGCAGAGAAAACTCTATTTTCTTATTGATCTTTAAGCTTTACCTTGGGACTGGAGGTCACTCACACACTCTCCCTCTCTCTCACACACACACACAACAAACACCAGCTATCAACAGTGTGTGCAAATATTGGACCGTTTCTGTCTTTTGTGACATTACCCTGAATATTAATTGCCTTTCATTGACCTTTTGGATCAGAAACTGTCTGTATCAACAGAAGAGCGGCAGCAGTGATATTTATTCACAAAGATAAGAGGGCTTTCAAATAAAAAAATCAAAAAAAAAAAAAAAAAAGCAGAGAGAAGCTCACAGATGGAATTAAAAGAATGAAATGAAAATCAGATTAGGTTTTAATGTCTGGTCTGTGTCTTCACGTCATGTCTTCCACATATTTTTTCTCACTCTTAGCTTTCTAATGTTCCACTCACTAACTTTCTACCAACACTGTCACATTACATATGCAGTGTATATGTACACATATATGTATGTTCTTAAATAATATATATATATATACATACATATACACACATATATTCACATATATATGCACTTATATATGTGTGTTTATATTGTACACATATCTTATGTCAACAGCTCACAGCCTTGAGTAGTTCTGACCTTATCAGTGTCCTGTATTCTGACCTCACCTCACTGTTTATCTCTTTGCTACTGTTTGTCCTACTGCCCAACACTGGTTTGTCCCGGCTTACAAGTAAAGGCAAATGGTGACACACACACACACACACACCAAATACAAACTGTCATTTCAGCATGTAGACAAAGAAAGATATGGACACCGACATGTCTTCCATATCCAGTCAAAACCCTCGAGCTGCGACCATGTTTTCCCATACTGGGGCCCATACTGATAAAAACGTTAAAGCCACAGCAGCCAGAATCTAACTAACTCTATCTAAGTGAAGCTGGAATAGCTCTGTTTTTTTGTGCACTCACAGCCTCGTCTCATTGGTTGTCACCAAGCTAGAATCATCAGGTCGTGCTGCCTCCCACTAGATAACTTCGAAGGATTCTTGGAATGTGTTGAACTTTTGCAACATTTAGCAGAAGGAAAGCCCAAGTGTGATTGGCCAATTCCATCCCTCAGCAGACTGAGCAGACACTGACATCTGTCAGAGACACCCCTCATCCAGAGGGTCTTTTTAAAAAACAGTCCAGCAGAACATCTAGTCTTGACGAGGTTGAAGGCTCCTTAATGAAGCAGACGATGGTGTTTGTTCAACACCTCTGTGTCCCTGAGGCTCCTCATTAAAAACAGAACCTTCAAATATTTGTTGTGTTTTATAAGCCACTGTTAAAACAAAACCTCCACACAGAACGGTTTTTAGGAGACTCGTCCTTTTGGTGTTTGTTTATTTGTTTCAGCCTCTGTTGATAGTAGAATGAAAAAAAAAACAACATTTTACAAAAAAAGTATGTTTTAACAAGTTGTTTTTATTATCATTAGCAGCATCTGTGCTTCTCTAATTAGACCTAAATGACCCTACATCACAAGGCAATTAGTCAAATAAAAAAATCCCAAACAGATCTATTAGCTCAGTGCTAACAGCCAGCTGCAGGCCCAACAGGCTGTTACCTCGGGTTCCATCAGTCACTGACAAATTCAAACTGCGTTAGTGCTAATTGTGTTCAAGCAGTTAATGCCTCAGAGTGTTTGAATCTGAACCAACTAACCTGGAGAACTCAGAACTAGTAACAAGTACCCAAGTCCCTGTGGAGGAACTGATGACATAACACAGTTATGCTCTGAAGCAGATGTTCTCACAGGTTGTTACACTCATTTGAACTATTTGTGTTGTTGTTGCAGCTAGTTGCGTTTGCCATTCCTTAAAACCAGATATTTTTAAATATAGATTTTAGACCTAAATTCAATTGGAACAGAGGGATCTACATTTGTATTCACTAGAGAGGAAATACAAGCAAAACAAACCACCAACGGTATGAATATTTGACTGTAAAATCGATACAGTGCTGCAGAATATCAATACGTAGCCTGAAATGAAATAGCGTGATATATCAAATATATATTGAAACATATATTTGTAAGCCACATGTCTAGTGTTGAGGAAACCGGGGATTTGTTACGTCAAACTCACTATATATGTACACATTAGCTATTAATTGGCATTGTGAAGTATTTCGAAAAGAACCTTTAGGTTCGACAACAAGGTTGTTGAAATTCACCAACGTTGATGTTGTTGTTTGTTTGTAACAGCAGTGATAATCAATGGCTATAAAAAAGGGGTTGAAAACAGGCCGTCAAGGCACCGTGGCCCCTCTCAAACAATAATTTGTCTGTTCTCACCGTGTCAACTTGTGCAGCTATTTGTCGAGAGCACTTGTTTTCATTGCCCTTAGCACTTCCTCTGGACACAGTGAATAGGGCGGGTATATGGTAATGATCCCTTTATTGGATCCCCTGTGAGATTCTAATCCTCTGAATTGATAGACAAATGAATAGCATCCTCTCTGCGTCGCTCATCTTGTGTCGAACATAACTGAAGGGCCTCCACTCAGGCGGCAGCGCTCATTGTTCCAAACTATCAAACACCCATTAGGCCCAGTGCCAGTTGTCCGTCAACTTTTGACACAACCCGCACCACATCCTGTCAGGGTGTCGACGCTGAGTGACACCTTGAAAGACAGCGTCTCATTCTGCTGCATGAGTGCCTGTTTTTTTTTTGTTTTTTTTTGTATTATTGATCTCTCAATTGCACCGCTTTTATGGGGAGGAGGGGGGCGCTACCTTTTCCTTATTGTATACTCACTTCCTCACTTTCTCATTGCTCCTTTTGTCGTGGATAAACATTAGCCATATGGTGGCAAACAGGCACAACAATACGCGCAGCACAACAGAGGCGAGGGAGGGAAGCGCTTGAATTTGAAAAGGACGTAACTTTGTGAACATGTCGCGAACGAGGCGTAGGAGGAGGGCCTTGGCTCGCTAGGCCTCTTGGTGTGACATGGAAAGAAGGGTTAGCGTGTGTGTGTGCGGTGGTAGGTGGATGGAGGGGGTTCGTTGTGGGGGTGTTATTGGCAATGTCAGGGTGTAGAGACGTACGAGGATTTGGAAGAGTCAAGTGCCGCTGAAAGGGAAGTTGTTGGTGGTCTGCAGAGTTGCGGCAGCTGCCTCTGAAAACAAACGGAGGAAATAAGAGAGACAGAGAGGTGTTTGGGGGTGAGGGGGTGGAGGTACAGGGGAGTCCAGTGGAAGGCACATGGGCTCCTAACTCACAGTTTCCCACTTTTTTTGTTTCTGAACTTTAATCTGTTGGGAGAAAGAGTTTGGGAGAGAGGGAGAGAGAAAACACTTGGCTGTGGCCCACGGGTGCTTCAGACCTCACCCCTATTTTACTAGGGCCAGCTAAAGTAGAGGGTTCAACCCCCGCCACCCCCACCCACCCCGGACCCCGCAATCCTTCCACCCCCATCATCGTCCCTCCTCTATCCCCTTCGCTAACTTGCTCTGTATTCAGCCAAGGTGCTGGAGTGACAACGAGCCATTCATTGTGGAGGTGGAGGGAAAAGACTGTGCATCTCTCCTGTGTCTGTTTTGGTCGAGAGTTGGGAAAAAGCTGGGAGGTGGAGGACAGTAAACTGGGAGGAAGGGGAGTCAAGGAAGGAAGATGCAGGATGTACCTGTTAATTAAACAGAACGATGGGTTAGAAAGATTTTTTTTTTAAAAAAAGGAGTAAGAGGAGGCAAAAAAGAGGGAGGGGGCGAGTAAAAAGTAACAGCGCAATGGAGGGAGGCAGGGATGGAGGGGAGTCAGAGCTGGAATCTGAAGGATGGGAGGGGGAGAGAGAGAGAGGGGCGAGTGAGGGAGGGGAGAGAGAGTGGGCTACCATGCCGAATGAGTAAGAGAGGCGGAGAGGAAGCAGAACTCCATCAGATGAAATGAGGTGAAAGTAATTCAGGCATTAATCAAGCCAGGGCAAAAGGGAGGGCATACTGTGTGTTTCTGCCCCTTCCCCTCTCTCTCGCTGCGGAACTGAAAAGCAAGGTGTGAATGAAGGAGCCCACAGTGGCCAGCAGAGAAGCACCACTGGGTCACAGCATCAAATCATGTCTGAGTCCAACACCGCTGCCGCTTCAGCAGCAGACCAGGTCAGTGTGAGCCGTCATGTTTCTCTCTGTCATTGGTGATTTTTTTTTCTTTTCTTGATTTTCTGAAGTGCGGCTGCAGAGATGTTCCCGACTGCTGCCTCTGCAGTCGGATCTTGTTAGAAGTCGGGGAGAAAGCCTGAAACATGTCCCAAGTTCCGGTGCGACGTATATCATCTTTAGATCCAAATTCGGAAGTAGTTAGAGGGAGTTTCTAAGAGCAACTGGGTGAGTGTGTGTTTCTTGGACTATCAAAGCAACGATTGTTTTGCCCGGAGCTGCCTGGACAACGGTACAGGGTCCTGAAAGAATTGAATTCATCAAGACGAGCTATTGTCTGCGCCGCCTTATTTTTCAGTGATCATTCAAGGGGGTCTGTGACGACTCAATACCCCCCACACCACGTGAGGAGGGGGACGCAACTCTTTAAAAACCCAACCACGTGTGGTGGCCCTGAAAAGTTTTAGAAGTAATTGCAGTGGGAAGTCTGGGCAGTGCTGTGAGAGATGAGGTTGGTAAGGAAGTGGGCCGGTCTGCCGTGTGTGTGAAAGAGAGTGACAGAGTGGAAAAGCGGCAGTGTCCAGAAAGGGCTGATATTTATGCTCTAGTCCTAACACACACACACACTTTCACACAATCGCTTCCGTCTACAATTACTTTAATGATACACTCGGACACAGGCATTTCACTTCACAGGCTTTTCCTAATCGTCTAATGATTTTGTAGTTATTTCATCGTCCAATCTAGCCGACAATTTGTTTGTATCCATATATGTGTGTGTGTGAATTTAACAAAATACCAGAACCAAACAGGTCACAGAACCTGAAGATTGAATCAACAAAACAGAACGGAACAGAACAGAACAGAACAGAACAGAACAGAACAGTTCCATCAGATCTGACAGAATCTCGTTTCAAATGTCAGATCTCTGTGTCTCAGACGACCTATCGTTCAGACCCTGCTGTGATCAGGTGATTATGTGTAATTGTTAGCATCGACCCAGGCGTACTGCACAGCGTTGACAGCACCACAACAGTCCCACACACACCCAGAGCTCTGATTGACAGAACTGATCATATTCACAGCATAATCATGTTGTTACCAGTGCAGGGGCATTGTTTGCTTTTCAATCTCCTATGTGTGTGTGTGTGTGTGTGTCTTTTTCTCCCAGTATCCACGGCTTCTTAAATGTGCTGCCTTTTTAGAGCGCACACTGAATTCAAATTCAAAGTTTACCCCACCAGAGTGCTCCTCCATCACTCCGATTGACTGACACACGGCTACAAACATGAAAACACGTTCCCTGGCTGTTTACTTTGGTTTAATGGCTGTGCAAACCCTCTTCCAGGGGAAAAAAAAGAATTTTAACATCTCTATCCCTACAATTAACGGTGGTGAAATCCAGTCATTATCAAAACAATAGAATAAAAGTAGCACAGACGTATATAGAAACAGATGCCGGAGCTGAAAGGTCGTTTTAGTTTCACCAAAAAAAAAAAATGTTCTGAGGATAGTGTTTAGCAACCATGGTAACAACAGCAGTCGTTTGCTGTGTATAACTTTTTAATAACATGGTTTGTTCAATGCCATCAGTGTTAAAAATAACTTTGTGCTTGAGTTAGTTTTCTTATATATATATATATTGTCAAGTTTTGTTGTTAGTGAGAATCCTCAAATCACCCCACATCATAAACAGAAAATAAAAGGTATATGTTGGTGTTAACCGTGCACTTATTCACTAAAAATAAAGAAATGGTCTGAAAAATGTATATGTACATAAAAATAACTTAAAATAATGCAAAATAAAAATAAATGTGGAAAATGTTTACCAAACTAACTAATTCAACCCAAGGCCTGAAGCTAAGTAGGCGTTTTGTGGGTCACAGGCCAAATACTTGTCATGCAGTTACAAGTAAGTCAGATTAGAAGGTGTTGAAGAAGACGTCCTAAAAGTTTGACCCACTGTCTTACCTTAAACTAAAACCAGACTTTAAAAATCAGGACTTTCCCAAAAACATTACCCGTTACATAATCTTCCAAAACAATTAACCATCCTTGAAGAATCAACTGTTGTTTACAGCTACAACAACAGACAACAGAGTCTCACTCTTTGACAGAGGTGATAAATAACACGTGATTCACTGTAGTATTCATTTAATAGGGGATCTGCATCTTCTCAGGGTGGGTCAGGGGTCAGGTTAGAGATTGACATCTTGACCTCTGAGGTCAACCACAAGACAGGAACAAGAGCTCCTTCTACTTACATCAGATCCTTTAATAATAAGGTAGTGGAAGTCTTCAGTCTTAGTAATGAAACACCTCCAGTATGCAGTTCTTCTCTCCACCCGTGTCTGTCTACCCTGTTCCACACTTGTGGTACTAATTTACAAGTACTTATCATCTAAAGTGAATCTCAGGGGGGAACTGATCAAAGACCCATTCATTACTGGGGTCACATCCTTCCTCCCAGCACCAGACTGACCCCTACGTCCGGGTACAATAGTCTAAGGTCATGTGTGATTTCAAAGCACGCTTGACTAATAATCGCCGTAACAAGGAGCTCACATGGATCTGATATTTGTTAAACGAGGGACTGGTGATTAGCTGCGACGTCCTCCTAATGAAAGGAACTATTAGACACGAGATAACACGTGTCCAGACAATAGCTGTGACTGCACTGTAATTACTTTGATTTCATGCAGTTTTTGGATATCAGCCAGCGTTTCGCAGTATTTTTCTGTGGTCAGCGGGGGCGTAGGTTTGAAAACTTGAGAAGTTTTAGTAACAGATGACTATCATTTGTCCAAGAAATGATTGAAGAATCTTCGGGGGTGTCTTTAATATACAATAAGAAGGACAGTCGTCCAGGGACATGGTACTGGACCAGAGGTTCGTTTTCATGTACAAATGATGCCTGACAAAAGTAGCCTTTATCTCGTGATAGTCACAGATGAAAATTACCAGTTGACATTTGACCTGAAGACCAGAGAAAAAGCCCAGGACATTTTGTCCAACTTGCTAAGGACATTGTCTAATGGTGACAGTGAAGGTGGAGGTTTTCGTATAATTTTTTTTTCTTTACTACAGTGGATGAACAAGCAGGAGGAAACATTGAGTTTATTAAAACGTTTCCTGCTACTAAAACGACCTGCTGTTATATCAGGAGAATGCAGCTTCACAATTCTGTGCCAACCAGCTAATGAGTCCTGGATGGCAGAAAATTGGATCTTCATCCCCTCCACAGGCGTTTACAACATACTTTTCTCCTTCTTGACTGTACATCACATCTACTGCATGTATTTGGTCTGTGGTCGCAGCATACTGTCGCGCTGAGAGTGTTGTTCCTCAAACGGACAGCAGGTGATGATATCTTGGAATGTGCTGGGTGGATATTGTATATTAATGTGTGGCTTCTGCACACTCACACGGTCGTTGGCGTACACGCACATACACACACACAAACTCTGCTCATCTGGAGGTGAGGCAGGTGCTGCAGTTTATGGAGCAGAAGTTACCACATTTACTCCCCGCTGCAAGTTTCAGCAGTCCTGGGAACGGTCACATGTGGACAAGAGGGCCGTGTGTGTGTGTCCCGTTGTCTGTCTGTCTGTCTGTGGTGGCTGTAACCTTCAGTCTCCCTCTGACTTCACTAAGTCGGCTCGCGGGCTCACAGCTGCCTTACAGAGGCACAGAGTCGGACCACGCTGAGCTCAGAGACGCAGCCATGCGTCTCTGAGCAGCCAGCCACTGTCGTCGGGTCTCAGCATAACGTACTGTAGGACGGAGAAGTAGAAAGAAGAAGTGTTGGGCAGTAAACTCTCAAGTTAGGGCTGGTCCATGCGTGCAGTAATAGGCAACAATAGGCAACAATACAACATTCTCTTTATCCCAGAAACAGTTTGATTGAAATGGCCTGATCTTGTTGGAGCAGCAACAGGAATGACAGCTAAACAGAAATGTGAAACGACAGGGTCATTGTCAGAGTGCCTTTCACACCAAGGGGGCGCTAAAAACGAATGACTCCTCAGACAACTGTTGAAAGTAAGCCAAAGAGAAAAGACTGTTCCTGACTGGGGTTAAGAGGTTCAGACTTAAGTCAACTGAACACTGGAGACTTCTATGTTGGAATTATTATTAGCTAAAACCTAAAGATTTGTTTTAATTCTATTTGTACTCTGGCATCACAGTAGGATTTGACAGTGCTGATGTTTGTTTTTTATTTTTATCCTGTGACTATGACTATGGCACAGTCTGGATAACGTGAATTACCCTTTACTCTTATATGATTTTACAGCAATTGTGGCTGTGAGAAAAACTAGTCAGGTGACTTTGAATCGACAGCTAAACCCTTGTGTCACGTGAGGGCATCGCAGGAAGCAGGCAGGACCCAAGAGCAGTACTGGTGCAGGTCGTTTTATTAACAAAGTCCAAATTAACAAAACAGGAAGAACTACCAGGCATGGAATTCTCTTTGTAACACGGAATACTAGGAAACACAAAATACTAATGAAACACAAAACAGGAAACTCACCTACTGCTACAGCCTGACAGAACGAACTGAACAATGATCCAAAACAATCACAATGTCCAACAAGGACAGAGTAAGGGAGACGGGTGTATATACACAGGAAGCACCAGGTGACACAAGTGAAGCTAATTACCAACAGGTGAGTGTGAACAGTCAGGAAACAGACAGACATGACACCTTGATTAAAACAGATTGTCATTTGACATGATTCTGTTCCCTTTGGCATCAAGACCTTTGGTCCATGGTGCAATAAAAGGCTCTGGGTCCTTAATGGTTTTTAAGGTCTGTAAGGATTTAAAGATCTAAGGCCTTATGTAACATAGAAGAACTTTAAACTACTAACAACGTGTTGATGAACGCTGCAGCTGCTGTGATTCCATCACAACATAATGAAAGCCTTGTGGGTTTCTGCAGTTGTTGGTTTGACATTTTGTGAGAAATCATAAATCTTCCTTTTTGTTCGGTGTCTGAAGTA